TCCGCTCTGGCGTCTCAGTATACCGCTGGCTGTAGCTCGTGGTATACTGAGCTTAGGGTAACGGGAGTATGCTAGTTTGTGTCCTCCCGTTACCCTAAGGAGAACTATGGGGAAAAACACTAACCACATAGTTTTAAGGAGCTGTTAATGCTTTAGATCCCTGGTGCCCAACCTGCAACACTTTGGCACTTATTGTGCTGCCTTTGGGGCCCTTGAAGGCACCAGTCTGTTTTGGTGATTACAGAAGCTAGTGAAGGAAACATATTCCATGGCCTGCCTGGTTTTGTTTCTTTCAGTTTTTTTGGCCAATGCTTTATAAATTATTATTATTACATAGTATTTATATAGCGCCAACAGTTTGCGCAGCACTTTACAATATAAACAAAAACCTATATCGAGAAGTATCCAGAACCTATATCCAGAGGAAGGAATGAAAACCCCTTCTACAGCACGGTCCAATTTGCTTCTTCTGGTTTCCTAAAGCAATTGGATATTACCTGAATCAACAACGATGCACCTTTTTTATATCTAGTTCTGTGAATTTAGGAATCCAGCCAGTTGTGACATGGGCAAAGTATAGGATTTTTGCATTAGAGCTGCAGCTAACGATTATTTTCAAAATCGATTAGTTAGCCGATTATTGAGTTTGGTTAATTGGATAAAAAATAAAATACATTAAAAAAAAAGGCTCCAGTGATGGGACTGCTAGTTTGTATTGCGATTGTAGTCCATCACAGGAGCAAGCTTGGAGCGGTGGAAGTAAAAAAAGAAAAAAAAAGTGTGGTGTGATATATAGTTAAATTAAAAGTGTAAAATTATACAGCAATGAATGCAGAATGGCACCGGCTATAGAGGACTACAAAACCCAGCAATAGTACATTATAGCTGGCGGTATTCTGCATTGTGCTATATAATGTACTATTGCTGGGTTTTGTAGTCCTCTATAGCTGGTGGTGTTCGGCATTGCACCACTGTATAATGTATTTTATAATATACAGCACAATGTACCATCAGCTATAGAGGAATAAAAATCCCAGCAATACATTGTAGAGCACCATGTGTGGGAAGTGCAAGCGTACCTAAGCAGTCTTCCAGCAACTTGCGTCTGAGATCTGTCTATCTGCCGCTGTCATCCCCCACACCTTCTCCTGCTTACTACTTCTCCCCGCGTCCCTGTGCCGATCGTGGATGTGGGCGGGAAGGAGGGTGTGCGGCGCGCAGCGTGTGTGGAGCTGTGGGCAGGGGCAACTAATCAAAAGCCGAATTATATCGATGATTGACGAAGTTGACAACTTTTTTCAATAATCGATTATGTCGATTAGTTGTTGCAGCCCTAGTTTGCATGACAAAAAAATCTTGAGTCATTTAGGAAATAATGGGCAGTGAGCTATAAAATCTCTACCACACTTTAAATCTCCCAAAACCATGGCCATAATATGCCGTTGCTACCCCATTTCTGCTGTAACAGCTCGTTTTCTTATAAGAAGGCTATATTTGGCGTTTTTGTCCATTAAGCAAAAGGACGTTTGTGAAGGCTGATGCTGATAATCTGTACTCCACTTCATCACAAATGTGTTAGTCGGGTTTAGGTCAGGGCTCTGTGCAAAAGCCACTGGAATTCATCTGTACCAAACTTGTCAAACCGTGTCCATATGGACCTGCCTGTGTGCAGAGACAGTCCTGCTGGAACAGGAAAAACAAGCCTTCCCAAGTCTGTTTATGCACTACTTTTTCTCAACCACAACACGGTGCGCAACCGCACAGTCGAGCGCATTATGGCCGGGGGGTGCGTATGCGGTGAATGGGCCCTAATAGCTCAAGAGAACATTTCCCACTCCTCTGAAGTAGTGGTGTGCTTTAGTGCACCCCAGTTGACACTTGGCATGGTGGTTTTGGGCTAGAAACACACTACTTAAAACTACTGGAACATATATTGTATACTGATGATAGTTACAGAGTAACAATTGGAATGTTTTATTATGCACATCAACACTTGGCACCCATTCTGCAAGTTTGCATGCTCTGCCAGCTCCTAAATGCTTACATTTCAGAATAATGGGATTGTGATGGTGGCAGATATTTCATAGACTCTGCAAGGGGACTCGGCAAGGGTGGCTTCCTATGACAATGCCATCAAGTTGCCTAAAGGAGAATTATGGGGAGAGGGAAATGCACTCACCCCACATAATTGTGACACTGAAGCTGTCGCATGTCGGCTCTATTGATCGGTAATGGAGTGATCACATACCACTGATCGATGAGTTCCCAATCTTCTCCCTGCAAAGAGTGGTGACTGGAGGAACGGATGGGGGAGGGGGCATGCACAGCTGGCCCTAGAGTCAGAGCCAGCTATCAATCAGGTAGCAAGGTGGATACTGACAATATTGTGGGGATCCGTCTTGGCTGTAGCGCAGTTCTTTTAACTTAAAGGAGAACTATGAGGCAAGTATTTTTCACTCACCTCATAGTTCTAGCCGACCTGTGACAATGAGACTGTCACAGGTCGGCTCAGTAGATCGGGAGGTGAGCGAACAGATACCGGCGTTCACTCACCTCTCGATTCTGTCACAGCTCTCTGCCATGACAGGGGAGGGGCTGGATTCCCTGCTCCGATCCGCCAGCGCTGACTGGCGGATCGGACGGGGAGGGGGTGTGTACAGCTGACTCTGCCTCTAGATAGGCAGAGCCAGCTGTCACTCACGCAGCTGGGCGGATCCAGACATAATTTTCTGACTTCCGTGCTCCGATCCGCCAGCGCTGACGGGCGGATCGGACGGGGAGGGGGTGTGTACAGCTGACTCTGCCTCTAGATAGGCAGAGCCAGCTGTCACTCACGCAGCTGGGCGGATCCAGACATAATTGTCAGGATCCGCTTCAGCTGCGTAGTCTCAGCTACTGCTCGCGGTATACTGCGGCGTCTCAGAATACCGTGAGCTCTAGCTTGCGGTATACTGAGCTTAGGGTGACTGGAGGACGCTAGTTTGTGTCCTCCCGTTACCCTAAGGAGAACTATGGGGAAAAGCCTTAACCTCATAGATCTCTAACAACTTGACCCACTCCATTGCCATGTTTGTAAATGGCGATTGCATGGTGTTTTAATTGTGTTTAATTTTTTTTATGCAGCTGTTATTGATTGGTGCAGCTGAAATACCGAGACTCAAACATTTTGAGGGGTATCTACATCATTTTGGCTTTGCAGTGCATCTTGTTGTGGGTAAAGGGAACCACTAGTAACAGATACTCCTTTTCTTTATTTTTTCTTTTTAATAGGACTCTATCAATAACACTCTACACAACCTTCTAGCATAGCCCAGGTATAAGGCATGCAGTACCGTTTTCTTGTGTTCTAAAGGGAGAGGCATCCTTGTGGCCTGGATGTGCCCTATGAAAAAGGGAGAGGCAGGTTCTCTTTAAGGTGACCCCTTTGGTCACCTTTCCACTTTAATAGTTGGATGGGAGCAAGCCATAAGAGGGGACATAGAAGAGCAGTGGGAATGAGCAGGAGAGGCAACAGATGATTGCAGAGGCACAGCGGTCTCTCCACCCTGCTGGGCGCCAGCTGTAGAAACAGCATGCAGGGGCTCCCAGCGAGTAGAACAGCGGGGGGTAGGAGAGAGTTTTGAAGCTCTCCTCAGCGCTGAGCACCGACAGCAGGGATCTGTGCCCCCTTCCATCACCTCTGGGAGCAGCGGAAGACTGAGGGGGATACAGAGCCTATGAATCAACTAATTGAACAGTCAACTAATCGATAATGAGAATAATTGACATCTATTCTCATTGTAGATTATCGTTGATTATTTGTTGCAACCCTACTTTTCAAGCTCTTCTTTCAGTAACCATTTAGTCTGACTGTCCTAATAGATTTGGGACAGGCTGAGTGCCCATCATTAACATTCAGTGTCCTCAGGGCTTTAACTCTTAGGACAGACAATCCTCATCTAGTTTACAATTGATAATGAAACCTGCCAGGACAGTACAGACAGTGAACACATCTTACTGAGTTCTGTGAACATATCTTCATACCTGTGCAAAGCTGTCTGCTTTTAAGTTAATGCAGATTTATCTAATGGTACGTAGAACCATGTGTGCTTTGGGTTGACAAATAGCCTTTATAGCTATTTTATAGTATAGTTCTAAAAAGACTTGGGGATGATGGCTGCCAGTGAAGAGTTAGACCAAGCCTAGGGGTTCTGAAAAATTGTGCTGTGGTAATCGGGGGTGGGGTGCTGTGTAATTAAATTGAAGCCGGTAGTGTAGTATACCCTAAATAGGCTCTGTGGTTTGAGGGAGTCATATTGTGGCGACTTTTACAGAAAGTTGGTTGGGTAATTTGCCCTGGCACACAATACCAGACTTGTCTATACTCGACCTGTTGGCGTTTAGTAATTTCACTGCCACAGAAGAGTATTTAGTCGCTATATGCTTAAATATACTAAATGTTCTTTTTCCATTAAGGTTAATATTCGTGAAGAGATGGAAGAGTTTATTTCAAGAATATTGAAGAGAAAGCAAGATAAAAGAAGGCTAATGAAAAATTGTAAAGATCAGAAAAATTCATTTGGGGGAAAATTTGAACAGAAGATTGTTCAGATAGAAGCTGAACATGTTAAGGCTTTATTGAATTGGTTGGATTGGGGAAGAATACACGAAGTTGAAAAATGAAGAATGAAGAAAAGTTTAATTCAAGAGTGGCGTAGAATTAAAAGAATCTGGAAGAATGAATGGGTCCTAGGTTAAGTAAATGTATGGTTTATGTTCCAGTGTCTGTATGATCAAATTAATGCATTTGCATGACTTTAGTTAACCAAAAATTTGGTCATCTGGTACAAAATAGGGTACAGTTAGTGGAAAGAGTGGGTTAAAAGCAGAATTTTGGAGGGTTAATATTTTTGTAATCTAACCCATTATTTTCCAGGTTTAGGTATCCATTTGTGTTCGCTGTACCATGGTAGGCATTTCTTGGGACCCTCCAAATTTTTAAGCATTTTTTGTTCTATTAGGCATCCCGCTCCCGCACCAAGTCACCTGCTGAAAGTGCTGCTCGTGCAAAATCTGAAAGTCGTTCTCGCAGTGGGTCAAAAGCTTCAAAGCGGTCAGAGTCTCATTCCCGCTCAAGGTCAAAGTCTCGGTAAGTTGTTTTTTTTTGGCTGAATATGTACAACTCCGGTCATAGACCATGAGCAAGCCAGTTGGCAGAGAAAGCACTATTTTTACTTTGTAGAAAAGATAATATGGCTTAACACCCACCCAATCACGGGGTTCCTATTACAGCTTGTTTTAACCCTTTAACTGTCAAAAATGTGTTTTGTGTGTTCTGGCAATCCAGGTTAATGTGAGCACTTTAAGGTAATGTTAATAAACTCCTGGTTCTTTGCAGTGCCTGAAAGTACCAGTCTCCATATTAATTTGATCTTAAAGGCAGGCTGTACATGGAGCTTTGAAATCTGCTGATCTTAAAGCCAAACTTCAGGACAAAATATAATTTACACACCACCACACTGTATGTGCAACTTATTAAAAAGCTGCATGCTATGTATGATGGGTTGCTGCAAAGTGTAAAAATCTTACTTTCCAGCATTTCATCTCCTACACATAATGCTAGGCGTAAGGGATCTGACTTGAGGATTGAAGTGCTTCAGTTGCCTTCCCACCCCTGCCAACTACTTTCCCATTCACAAAATGCCTGGTATCTTTTTTTTTTTATTTTTCCCCAAAGAATACAAGGTGTTCTGTGATTGAAGGAGAGAGGTCACATCCTTGCCCTCTCCTGCTCCTGTCGCAGAATGCTTTGTGTTATCCACCAAGTAGTTAGGAGGGGTGGTACTGTGACTGGAGCACTTTACTGTATGTGATCTGCTTCAAGATCATGTACATCAACCCCTCAGGAATATTCTGTGCAGTCAGTACCTCAGTATCCAGTCACCAGCTCAGGTTTGTTTACCCCTCAGTGTTCTATCCCCAGCAGATGTGATGTCCCCTCCGTTCCTCAACCCATGTGTGTTTTATCTTCAGTCCCCTGACATGCATGTTGAGCACTTAGTACCCATTGTATGTGCTTATTTGTCCTCCTGTCAGGACCTATTTAGCTTATGTGCAGTAACAGCTCAGCTGCCTGTACCCAGCATGCATGTGTTTTACCCATCAGTGGTCAGTCACCAGCATGTGAACCTTCAGCAGCCAATCCCCCTAGCAATGTGTAATTGACCCTTTGTGGTTAGTACATGTGCGTTTATCCAAGGAAGTAACCTGAGTTCATGTGTGATCAGCTGGTTTTGACCTGGATAGCTCTGTCAAGCGCTTGGCTTTCATGCTGCTAATTTTATCGTTGTGTTTTGCGGGGGTTTTGTGAATGGGTACATGTGTTATGGGGAGCACGTCTCCATCCCTGTCATTTAGGCCCCATTCACACTAGGCTACGATTTAGGTGTTTTTATATGCATTTTAAAATGGTTTTCTAAACGCATATATATGCCTCTTAATTTACAATGAATCTATTCACTCCTTGCATTTAGATGCTTTTATCTGCAGTCAGTTTAGCTGCGTTTAGGAGAAATGGAAGTAGTGTCCATCCAGTAATCAATTTCAACTTGTAAAAGCAAGATGCATTTGTTTGCTTTAAAAGCAAGACACGTTTGCTGAAATTTAATTTTGTCCTTCAATGGACAAAGGACAGATGTATCTACTCTGTGTATAAACACGTGTCATTTTAATAATCTAGAAGCATAAATAAAGCATCTAGCATGACAGATTTTGTGTACATCTCTGCATAAAGTCCATGATAGAAGTCACCAGCACTCGATTTGTGCAAGAAGTAAAGCACTTTTTATTAAATCGTCACATGCGTCATACAGCCAATGTTTTAGGGCCACGCAAGGTCACTTCTTCTGGGCGACATAGTGTCTATGTGCTTTACTTCTTGCACACATCAAGTGCTGGTGACTTCTATTATGGACTGTATCTGACACGGCGCAATCCGTGTTGTCACTTCAAGCACCAACCTTTCATCCAAAGTCTGTACGCTGTATGGAGTGCAGGTGATTTTGTGTTATGTCTGCATAGAAACGTACCTGGCCAGTGTGAATAAGGCCTTATCTGTAAGTTTATCTTATCTGTAAATTTGCTTTATCACAAATTATTTAAAAAAAAATATTTATCTGCCATTTGAGTCAAAAAATGAGTTGTACTATGCGCTTCTACACATACAGACCACACTAATAGCCGTTTTCCAGCATATTTCCCCTCTAAGACACTTTAGCATACTTTGTTGTAACCTGACCTTGACCTTGGAGTGTCTACGCGACTCTCCAATTGCCCACTTCTCAATCTTCTCTCTCCAAGTGCTACAGCATGTGGCACAATCTTCGCAATGGACACACCTCACTGTGTTCTGTAGTGTCATAGGAGCTGGCAGATGGGACCAGGCATCCAACACGCCTAGAAGTGTCGAATGTACAATTTGTCAGGCCATAGACTGCAAGAATGTGCATCATAAACACACTTTCCTTGGGAAAACGGTCTACCTAGAGTTGCATGTGCTTTATTTTCAGATCGCGGTCCAGAAGACGTTCACACAGACGATATTCCCGCTCCAAGTCTCGGTCCCGCTCACACAGAAGACGATCAAAGAGCAGATCATACTCTCCAGAATATAAGAGGAGGAGGAGCCGCAGTCACTCTCCAATGTCTAATAGGAGGCGGCATAATGGTAGCCGGGTATGGTTTTCTGTTTTCTCGATCTGCAGATTTGTTTTCAACTCTATTTGCCTTTTTTATTGGAATTGTTTTTGTTTCGTTTCCCCCTTCCTTCATTTGTAAATTTTTGTTTTGGTCTTCTTAGGCAAACCCAGATCCGAACAATTGTGTTGGTGTCTTCGGCTTGAGCTTGTACACATCTGAGAGAGATCTGAGAGAGGTGTTTTCCCGTTATGGTCCCCTTGCTGCTGTCAATGTAGTGTATGATCAACGGACTGGACGGTCGAGAGGATTTGCATTTGTTTATTTTGAACGAATTGAAGATTCCAGAGCGGTAAGTTTAATATTTGATTCGTATAGCACAAACATACTCCATCCTTGGAGTGCTTTTCACATCCCAAAGAAGCGTCAAGTGTCCTTACAATGTAAAGAGTAGACCTTGTCGCACTCCTTACCGAATAACCCAACAATAGGGAAGGGTCCTCGTAATGACTGCTGATGGAGCCACTGTTCACATGAATGGTTTGGAGAAATGTCACCAGCACACCGAAAATACTTTTGTGGATCCCCAAAAGTTAACCTATTGAACAGTTGTCAAATTATTTCCATTTGACAACTGTTCAATAAATTAACTTTTGGGGATCCTCAAAAGGATTTTTGGTGTGCTGGTGACATTTCTCCAAACCATTCATGTGTCTTTACAACGGTCGCAAGAGACACTGGGAGGGATTTATCAAAATCTGGAGCAGTCGCTGTGTGCAGCTGTTCCAGTTTTGATAAATTCCCCTCACTGTGTAGAACTCAAACTGCCATAATGTTTTTAATGACCGTAAAACTACAGTTAAAGGCAGAGCAAGAATCTGACTTATGTGGGTGCTGTATATGCCTTTATCCCACTGCTCCTCTTCTGGCCACTACGTCACACGAATAGTGCGCTCTGAGGGCCGCTTCACTCCACAAAGGCTGTGTTCCAGAGTTTTCGGCCTCACTGCAGGAGGAGGTCTGGCGGTGCATTGAAGTCAATGGCACTGCAGCCATGCCCCCACACCCGGACTGCGTTCCGGTCCAGTGCGATCTGCAAACATACGGCAAGCTCTATCGGGCCGGGACACTCTGGCGCTAGTGTGAACTAGCCCATGCAGTTTCTGCTTTCAGTTATATGTGACATAGCGGCTGGGGGAGGAGAAGCAGAAAGAAGCTTTTAAGAAGAATCGGACGCCAGATTTTTATATTTTTTTTTTCTTCTCCTGCTTGTAACTGCAGGGGATAATTTGTTTACAAATTAAGTGCCATTTAAAATGGTTGTATAATTGTTGGTCTATTTTCAAAGGCTATTAACAGATTTGGTAATATTAGATATGTGCATTTCTGTAAAGAATGTCAGCTAGGGCACACTCACTCCAAGATAAATATAGGGTGTGCACAGGTGTAAAACTGCATAATACACGTTTACTTGGCTCATCTGACTCCAAATATAATTCATTTGAGAATTTCTCACAACCTTTACTGATGAAGCCTGCAGTTGTGTTATGATGCAGTCGATTTTGGGAGCTTTGGGCTGTGCTACCAATATCCCACAAGATTGCCTAAGTTTTATTTTAGAACATGCGCTAGTGAAACAGTAAAAACTTCTGTAGTCCTGGTTGTACATGGTACTATTGGGGAAAGCAACATTACACAGTTCTGCAGTTTTGAATAGTGGCCTCTAGGTGGCAGACAATGAGTATACTTGAGGTGTGAATGTGCTTGTAAAGCATTGCTATCTCTACTATGCAAAAAACAAACCCTGTAAATTATTTGATATAGATATATATCTAATCTATATATCTAATCGGTTAAGAAAATAATCAGTTACAGCCCTAAAGTATGTGAATGCCTTTTTTTTACGGTTTGAGGCTGGAGTTGGAGGGGGCTCGATAGCGCTTTCCAGACTGTGACCCAGATCTTCACTCTTGCAGCACTACCCCAGCCGAAAACCTCGGCATCCAACACTTCCAGGTTTGTCCCCCACTGGTTCCACCGGCGTTTTGTATATTAGTATATACCCTGGCTGTCCAATGGCTTTAGTGCTTTCCAAGTCACTGACTATTGACAAGTATGTTGTCTAAGGCCCGGTTCACACCTGGGCGTTTTGTAGCGCGTTCCTACGCTCTGCAAAACGCTCAAACACCAAAATGCCATTATTTCCTATGGGTATGGTTCACACCTGGGCGTATTACAGGCCGTATGAACGCGCTACAAAACGTCCTACGCCCAAAGAAGTACAGGAGCTTCTTTGGGGCCTTTTTGTCGCGCGTTTACATTGGGATACAGCCAAATAGGATACAGCCTTTACAGTTTACATTGGGATACAGCCTCGGAAACGTGCGTTTGTTGCGCGTTTTTTTTTAACCGCGAATCGCATATTCGATACGCCTAGGTGTGAACCCAGCCTTACTCAGCAGGGGACCAGGAATCTAAAGTACCCAGAAGTGTTGGATAGCAGCAGCTCCATAGCTTTTTAATAGAGTGTTATACCTTTTTGTATATACATGGCAGCTGCCAGTGGCAAGATTCCACAGATGGCAGCTGAATGTAAATACAGCAGGTAGAGGGCTGGTGAAATGGCCAGCCTGGTATTGGCTACTACACCAGCCCACTGCTTGCTGTGCCCTCCTCCCAGCATGGAGGAGAGAGCTAAGGGAACCAACTAATCGATGATTATGAGAATAGTTGTCAACTATTCTCATTATTGATTAGTTAACGTACTTTAGGACTGCAATCATTACATAAGCTACATTTGTGTATCACTCAGCTGTAGTTCAGATATCTCTGAATTGGTGCAGACACTGTCCTTCCTGCTGGAGGGTAACTACTTTTGTTCCCCATGGTCCCTGTGTGTATTGTGAAGTAACTACCGCTCCAAGTTCACTCCTGTGATGGACTACAATCTCCATACAAGTTAGTAAACTAAACGTGTTTGTAGTCCATCACAGGAGTGAGCTTGGAGCGGTGGCTACTTTACAACACACACAAGGGACCATGGAGAACAAAAGTAGCCCCCCTCCAGAAGGAAGGACAGTGTCGGCACCAATTCCAATATGAGGACATGCTGCCGAGTGATACATGAATAAGATACATATTAATAGTTAAGGTACTTGAAAAATAAACACTGTAGTCCTGCATCTCCTGTGGTGCCTCTGTACACTGTAATCACACCATTGTGGTTGAAGGCATAGGTTGTACTTGTGACCAATCGGCGATATGGGCCAGGCAGAGCTTCAACCATAGAAAACCTTTTGACTCCTTCACAGCGCAGCTCCAGAAGTCAGAGAAAAGTATTGACAAATGGCAGGATGAGGTCTTTTTACTTCATTGAACAAGTGATTGGGCAGCTAGTAACATCAAGATTAAATAAAAAATGGGGGTGTCATTTTTTATTTTTATTTTTTACTTCACGGCCAAGTTTTTATAGCTGCCTTTTTGTGGCAGTGAACTTGTTTTGAACCTGAAATGCGGCTTGTGATACACATCCTTTGCTGACGTGAGAGGGACAACCATGGCAAACACAATGCCTCTTCAATACACTTTTTTTTTTCATTTTGAGAAAATGAATTAAATTTGGGAGTGCGGGGTTTGTGACTTCATAGTCCATCCCAAGCTCCTGCTGAGTGCATACCTAACCTGTTGAAGGCCACAACACAATCCTGCTTTCCCTGGTTGTGATTTTTGCCTCCTCTGCATGCTTGTGTGTGTGAAGACTTAACCAGCCTACTCTGAGATGGCTGACACGGAATGTTACAATATGGTGGAGCTCCAGGCAGGCCAACACTGCCATTTAAGCACTGAATGAAAGACCAGTGGGGGCAGGGAGTGAGACGGCAGCTGGTAGGCTGGGAAAAGCACGAAATGGCAGTCCAAACACGTGCTGAGAGCGCACGCATATGAGCACATGGAGGGGAGATTAACCCATTCACTGCAGGTTCCTGGGGTAAAGCTGGTATAAAGGCTGACTCATTGTTCAGAGCTTATTGCTGAAACAGTAAAGTACATTTTCTCAAAAAAAATGAGTACATTTTGAAACAAAGGTATTTACATTTCAATAATGCTAAGTTTACATTTTTAGCTGTTTTACTATTTTTTCCTAGGCAATGGAGCATGCAAATGGCATGGAATTGGATGGCCGAAGGATTCGTGTAGACTATTCAATAACAAAGCGAGCACACACCCCCACCCCAGGCATTTACATGGGACGGCCCACTCAGTGAGTGTTCTTTTACTTGAAGCATATGCAAAGTCAACAGTGTTTTTTGGGGTTTTTTTGGATTTATTTCTTCTTGGAAAATGTTGTTCTCTTCCTTTAAAAAAAACATGGGATATGTTTTTAACCAGAGAAGATGGTTTATCTGTTGTGTCTGTTAACAGTGTTTAAAAGTTAATAATGTTAACAGTTACCTTACAGTACATTTATTTATTTTCCACCTAAAAGCTGTGTTGTAGGCATTTTATAGATTTTCAACAATTTAAGCAGCTACTAATCAGGTGTACATTTAATAAATCTAGCAAGATAAGTTAGGGAAAAACTGGAAAGTCATCAGCCATACATGCGGGTGGAAACCCAGCTCCTGCTAAACTTCCATGCTTTTACTGTCTTTATTTCCAGTGTATACACAAATTGGGCTGTGTTCTGAAATATTAAGTGCTTGTGTAGAGCAGTGTTCAGATTGTGACTGCATGAGGCAGTGCATGTTAATTGCTTTGATGAAAGCTGCCTATACCGTGTTTCCCTGAAAATAAGACACTGTCTTATATTTTGTTTGACTCAACAAAATGCACTAGGTCTTATTTTCGGGGTAGGTCTTAATTTTTTTTTTTTTTAATGTACAACAATCCACACTTATTACCGGTAGAAGACTTACAAGACAGGAGTGAGTGGCAAAGTTAAGAATAGGGTGATCAGGGCAGTCAAAGGTGCCGTACCTTTCCAAGAGCAATTTGGTAACCAATCGCTGGCCAGAATGAGGGAAGTGCGCTTTCACTATCGATTCCTCACAGGCGAAGTGCATTTGGTATCACTCCGCCTGCGACAGGAGCCGGCGCTATAGAGGAAGCATCGGCTTATGCGGCTCTGCTCCCTGCGCTGCCGCCTCGCTTCCTCTAGCGCTGGCTTCGTGGGCCCCGCTGATTCTCTCCTGCCTCTCCCGCGGCTCTTCAAGTTTCCTCCTTATGCCACCACCGGCCCTGGGAATGGTCACAACTAGGTCTTATTTTCGGGGTAGGTCTTATATTTTAGCAATTCCCAAAAATAGCACAAAGGTCATATTTTCGGGGAAACAGGGTAGCAACCAGAAAATACATTTCATAGGGACCCCATTTGGTTTTGGTCTGAAGTAGGCTTACACTGATTCCGCACAGCTTATGTTTACATATATATATTTTTTATTTAGCAGTAGCAGTGGACGTCGTAGAGATTATGACAGAGGGCATGAACGTGGCTATGACAAATATGAGGAATATGACTACAGATCTTACAGGTATGTTTGAACTTATTCTGCATTCACAAGTGAACTTAAATCGCAGGCCCTCTATGTTGATTGTAACTGAAGTTAGAGCTATATTAAGCCCCCCTAAACTTCTATGTACCCCAAAAGGCTGGGTAATTAACCCTTTCACTGCCAATGATGCAAGACTGAACAGAACCTCTTCCAGTTGCCCAGGTTCATAAGCCTTGCATTTCCCTTCTGCTATAAGGTTGTGGTTGCTTCAGTGACCATGAACTCATGCCAGAAGGGTCCTCTAGAATTTTGGGAATGAAAAGTTGTGATCACACTCATTTGTGATTAAATGTGGTGACTATCACCTTCTGCATTGTTCTCCATCAGTGGTCCTCCTTGCTGTGTGCTGCAATTGGCTCCTCTGCTATCTTTCCTCCTATCACTGCTCATTTTGTGTGTCCCCCCCACTGCTCTCCTGTGCCCCCCCCCCCTTCCTTCTGTGGATAGCAGTTTGATGAGGAGAAGCAGAGGGGAATCGACTTTTCTGTTTTGTGAATGCCCTGTTCTTGCCATTTCCCAGTTTAGTGAGGTCAGGGCTGTCCTCAATCTCTAATTCAAAGAAGAGCTATTAAGGGTCTTTTCAGAGGCCTGATCATTTTCCAAAGCCCTCACTGGTGTAAAGAAAAAAAAGTTAGAAACCCAATGAAAACATACTGCGCACATTGTGGTAATGCACCAACCAACACACTAGGTTTCCCCATTCACATCAGTGGGCTGGGCACATGTTATGGTACACATCAAATGCATTCTGGTGTGCATGTTCTGCGGTGCATTGTTACAGCACATCACAGTACTTCCGCCCTTTTTTCTTAAACTTAACTGACATGTTGATCTGCGTTTGAATAAAAAATGTGTATCTTTGTAGTGCACATAACACTGTCCTCGTGGCATTACAGATTGGGCGTTACTACAACACATGGGTGTGAAGCCATCTTCGTGGTTTTTTAGCACAATTTGCTTATTTATAGTCTTGCATAGTTTAATTATTACGTTTTGCAAAAAAAAGGTACAAATTCTGCACACTGGCAAACTAACCAGAGTTTTCATACCTCCGGCAATGATCTGCATTTTCTGCTGTCAGGGAAGAGCAAAGATGGTTCACTATAATGGAGTCTTGCATATACTAAGTGTACCCTGCTGTTCAACGGAAAATACATCGCACCCCTATCTCCCCCTCCCCAGCACAGTGATGAGCTCATTGCTACTTTCTCCTACCAGCTCGTGCCTTGTCGGCACATGAACTGGTGTACTACTTGTTCCTACAGTTGGCCCTGCTGCTGTGTTTCAGTGAGTGGAAGAGGCTGATAACCGGTCAAATGCAGGTGCTTACACTACGTGCAATGAAATACATTTAATGTTAGATTTATAATTATAAATCTGCATTTGTGGCTTTTAAATCTTTCTAGAGTTTAGCTTTAAATCAAGTGCATGCTTTTCACAGCTTAATTGGAATGCCCTGATGTCTTTTAAGGTGTTTGTGGGAGGTGTGCTTTACATTTTTAGAAACCCTTCTTTCTCCAATCATCTTCCAGGCCAGCAACCTGAGAGACTATTGGCTCCACCTTCTACAGGAAACACAAAAGCAAAACGAGTTAACCACTTCAAGACCAGGTGTTTAGACCCCCTTCCTGGCCAGGCCATTTTTCAGTATTCAGCGCTGCGGTACTTTGACTGACGTTTATTCCGTCATGCAGCGCTGTACTGAAATGAATTTTATACCATTTTTTTCGGACAGATAGAGATTTCTTTTGG